CTGGCCCCCCTGTGCCCCCCGTGCGCGGATCTGTGGCTGCCGTGCGCGCACACGCTTGGCCGGCACCCACCACCAGGAATCAAAGCAGCGGCCACTCTGCCCAGACCCCAGGCCAGCCCTCACTGGAGGTGTCCTCATCATTGCCAGTCTTGCTCTCTGCCCTCCTTAAGGCGCTGGCCCTGAGGTGCCCAGTCCCTAGCAGGTCCAGCACCTGTCCCCTGAGCCCCACTCACTGTGTACAGACGTCGCCGCAGTCTGGCCAGGAGCGGGAAGGAGAGCTCCAGGCCAGGGAACCGACGCGCTGCTGGCATCTCCTCGGAGCTGGATCCCCAGGCTGATCACCAGGGCTCTGGCCCACAAAGTGTGCAAGCAGGGACCTCAGCTCCTAGCTTTTGTGCTCTGCTCAGAGGGAAGCTGGCCTCTCCAGGAGCTGCCCCAAATCCCAGGCCAGGGGGTGGGAAATGGGACAGGAGAATGAGGCGGGCCCCTCTGCACTCCTGCAAGCCTTTGCAAGCCCTGCCGGGGTGCCACAGCTGGCTAACTGGTAGGGGCAGACAGGCTAGCTCCCCTCCTGGCTAGCTGCAGCCAGGGCCTTCCGTTCTGCTTCTCTGTCTTCTCTCCAGTGCAATGGTCACCGCTCCGGCCCCACTCCCTGGCTCCCCCACCCGACTGCCCAAGTGCCCGCCCTCCTTCTCCCTCTAGCCTCCCTCCCTCCCTCCTTCCCTCCCTCTCTCCCAGCTGAGCAGTTCTGACACTGGCTGAAAAAGGACCTTTCTGAATCCCTGCCAAGAGGGCAGCGGGGAGGGGGGACTCTTTCTCCCAGCCTCCCGCACTGGCCCCCTGCCTCCCCACACACAAGGCCCCCTGTCTCTAGCTTCCACCCCTGCCCTCCCAGTTGCAGACAACTCCTGAGATTTTCGGGTGGAGGCTATGTGAATCAGACAGCATGAACAAAGCCTGGCTGTGGGCCCCCATACGAATTTGTCTGGGGCTATGGGGGCTAGTGCCCAACCTGAGGTGGGGGGTTGGACCCCCAGAGAGTCTTTCCTGGGTCCTCCAAGCAGACGCTTCAGAGATCCTCCCCATCCCCCAGCCCAGCCTTGGCTGGGCGTCTCCTGGCTCAGACCCTGATGTGGCCCTGTTACCCTGGTGCCCGACGGAAATAGGAGGCCGGCAGTCTGCCAGAGTGGGCAGCCTGGCCAAGAACGAGGAGTGGGGGTGAGGCTCTCCACCCCTCCCCTGGGGTTGCCTCGTCTGCTGTCCACAACACCCAGGGTGCCTCCACCCCAAATCAGCTGGCCAAAGTTCAAAATCCCTTCAAAACAAACAAATGTGTCCCAAGACCCC